TTTTTTTTTTTTTTTTTTTTTTTTTTACGAAAATTTACATATTGCCGCGATAACGAAACGAAAACGAATTGATTTCTGAACAATTACATTCGAGTCCAATAGACATATTTAGGAAATATGAAGAAAAGTTAAGGAAAAACTTGCGTTGCATTCCGATATTTATTTCGCTTTCAAACGATCGTGATAGAAGAAACGTATTCGATTCAAGGGAATCCGTAAATTCTTACGTAATGTTTTTTACGTTATGATTATTTCAAGGCTAAAGAAGCATCGACGACGCGAGAAAAACGCGACAAATTGAGTAATGCACGACGAAATGAAATCAATTTGTCGTACTTTTAACCTCGTCAGAGGCGTGCGAATACATGTACACGGGTATGCAATTCCAAACGGACGTGTATTGGTGCTTGGCGGAGAAAGAGTAGTATTTTGAAATGGCATTAGCCGATTGGTGGAACGCGACGAGCCTTCCCATTGTGCTTGGTCACTGGCGCCACTGACGTTTCTCAACCAATTTAACCAACCAACGTTTTTTCATGAATTGCATCGCAAGGAATTCACATTGTGCGATTGTTCGTACGTCAAATGTTTGTCGAGGAAAGTAACAGACTTCCGCAACAGAAACCATAATGGAAGTCCATAATTTAGAGTAATGCTTTCTTCATTCGTCGAACGTATGGAATTCAAAGGTAAAAACGAGCTGTTGCTTACCGTGTTACATGACCGTGTACGACGAGATAGCCTGCTGCCTGTTGTTACAACGTGTATTCTTACATTACAGCGACTTTGTGAATTCATATTGCATTTTGCACGATTCGATGGAAACCAACCAAGCAATTTTCTGATGTAAAAAAGAGCAGCTGTTGAGTTGTTACTCGGATGGTTAAAAATAAGAATTCATAGCTGCGCGTAAAAAACGCAGTAAATGACGCGTATCGTAACAAGTTGCTATGCCTGTGCATAGATCTGCAGTGCATATTGTGATTATTGGCAAGATGGAGCCAATGAGAAGACAAGTTCTGCGGAGGCTCGTCTCGAGTTGACCTCGAGTCAACGTCGCGTGTCCGCCTTTTTTTTACGAGAGGAACGTGACGAACAAATTTGCGGGGTTATTGCGTCATTCCGTCTATCGATGTCTGCTCTCTCTTTCACTCTCTCTGCTTCTTTTTCATCATACACGCGCCGCACGTGTACGCCAGCGCTCACGCAATTTCGACGCGACACACGTCACGTTTGCGTGCGCTCGTACGTACAAAAATTTGGTAATAATTGAAATAATTACATTCTTTGTCAAATTCCGTTTTATTTTATTCTTCTCTTACTCCACGTATGTATATTTTCCACAGTTCCATCGCAGCGCGACGTACAATATCGCTATGCACTGTATACATTACCGTAATCAAGAAACTTTTTATCAGCAGAACAGAGGCCTTTAAATAGCAAATGAGATAATTACAACGCTAAACGATGGCCGACGATGCTAATTCATTGGACACGAATGGGGGAAAGCTCGCAGGAAGATTATCGCCTGTACGCATCGTACATATATATATATATATATATATATATATATATCGTTGCATGAAAATTTCAGATATTATCATGATTATCGGTGATAAATGTAACACGGTGAGAGAGATTGGACAAAAGATTGCAGATATATATTTAGCCGATCAGTCGGAAGAATTTTGATAAAAAAGAGTCTAGGATTACGAGGATTGAAGAGGCTAGCCTCGCGTAGCAGCGTCGTGTACTGTGATTGTAAATTGTAAGAGAAACAGGCGTAACGGCTGAATTAAAAGAAGAAGGGAAAAAGTTCAGTGGAAGGAACGATAAAAGAAGAGAGGAAAGACAGAGAGAGGCACGTACGCGTGTTACGCGTGTATATAGATATTGGCAGGCAGCGTGTGGTAGAGGAAGAAAGAAACTTGCGGGGGCCAGGAGGATCAGGAAGGGATGGAGGATGGAGGATGGAAGGGAGCAGAAGAGAGCGCAGGAACATAGAGGAGGAACACGGGAAAAAAGGAACACGGGAGGTGGCGGCAACTGCGAGGTCATAAATATAAGCGCTGTTATACCCTTCTACTATTCGATTGGTCGAGCCTCCGGACGAGCCTCCGTACTTGTGACGACACGTAACGCCGGGCAACAGATAGAATGGACAATCGAC